ATTAACCCGATTCGTCGTGTTTGGAGGAAGAAAAATGCTGACCGTGACCCTAAAAACACCGTCCCTACAGTCCAGCCCGTAGGGGGAAACATTATGCTATGGGGCTGTTTCTCTGCTAAAGGTACAGGCCGACTTTGCTGCATTGAGGGGCCAATGAACGGGGCCATGTGTTGTAAAATCTTGGATGAGAACCTCCTTCCCTCAGCCAGAACACTAAAGATGGGTCGTGGCTGGTCTTTCAGCATGACAATGACCCAAAACATACCGCCAAGGCAACAAAGCAGCGGCTCCAGAAGAAGCAGCACATTAAGGTCATGGAGTGGCCTTATCAGTCTCCAGACCTTCATCATATAGAACATTTATGGGAGGAGCTGAAACTTCGAGTTGCCGAGCAACAGCCAAGAAACCTGAAGGATTTAGAGAAGATCTGTAAAGGGACCAAAATCCCTCCTGAGATGTGTGCAAACCTGGCAACCAACCCCATGAAACGTCTCCCCTCTGTGCTCCCCAACAATGGTTCCCCCAGGAAACGTCTCACCTCTGTGCTCCCCAACAAGGGTTCCCCCAGGAAACGTCTCACCTCTGTGCTCCCTAACAAGGGTTCCCCCAGGAAACCTCTTCCCCCTGTGCTCCCCAACAAGGGTTTCCCCAGGAAACGTCTCCCCTCTGTGCTCCCCAACAAGGGTTCCCCCAGGAAACGTCTCACCTCTGTGCTCCCCAACGAGGGTTCCCCCAGGAAACGTCTCACCTCTGTGCTCCCCAACGAGGGTTCCCCCAGGAAATGTCTCCCCTCTGTGCTCCCCAACAAGGGTTCCCCCAGGAAACGTCTCACCTCTGTGCTCCCCAGGAAACGTCTCACCTCTGCGCTCCCCAACAAGGGTTCCCCCAGGAAACGTCTCCCCTCTGTGCTCCCCAACAAGGGTTTCTCCACCGAGTAAGTCATGTTCTGCTTGGAGATCAAATACTTCTTTTACTCCCTGAACTGCAACTCGATTTATAACATTTGTATCATGTGACTTCTCTGGATTGTTGGTTGATATTCTGTCCTATCATTTAAAATACACCCATGATAACAATGATAGACCTTTAATTTCTTTGTAATCTGCAGGGGATCAGATTATTATGTTCCTCACTGTATATATATTCAGTAGGGATGCACCGATACCGATACTAGTATCGGTGCCGATACCGAGTATTTGGGTGAGTACTCGTACTCGCCCAAATGCTCCGATACCTAGCACGAGTACTTCCTGTATCAGAAAGCCGGGCAGCGCATCATTACACGCTGCCCGGTTTCCTGATTGGCCAGGAAACGGCTCCATGCTCTCTTGTCACTTGTGATGAGAGAGCATGGAGCCGACTTCCCGGCCAATCAGGAAGCTGGGTAGCGTGTAATGACGCAGCGCCCGGCATTCTGATTGGCCGGGAAGCCGGCGTCAGGCTCCCTCGTCATCTCATGAATCATAATATTAAGAAAGTGACCTTAAAGCATTAGTTTGTATTGCTTTAGAAAAAATGTGACCTGTCCCTTTAAGAAAAAGTATCGTAATTGGTATCTGCGAGTACTTGATCAAAAGTATCGGTACTCGGTCTTAAAAAAGTGGTATCGGTGCATCCCTGGTATTCAACTATTTGGAGTTCAGCTTTATCTTCATCTTTTTCTTTATTTAAAATACTTTGTAAAAGTTTATTTGGAGGTTTGCAATCATTCTACATCTGGAACCGTCTCCGTTCTGGTTTAGGCGGCAGACTGCGTCGTCCACCTGACAGAACCCGGGCTGCTAGGCTCTCCAGCCGCCAGCGAAGCCGTTTATCTTCAGCTGGCGACAATAGATACAAAGGAGAATATAGCAGCCTTGGCATTTCCAGCTGAAGATCGTCTACACAAAGCACACTTCAGAGCTCTGCCTATGACAATGGCTTTCACGGAAAGGTCACGTCTGCGGGTGCCACGCTTGTAACCAGCGGACTTTGTTTAGGTTTGGCTTTGTGTCATATTGAGTATCCCTGTAGGCAGCCCTTTTCATTCTTGTCTCCAGTGCGCTAGAGAGATCTATGGCTCGCAATCGGCCGCTTTCGGTGCCCACAGACGCAGGCGGCACACAGCACTTAGCGCACTGCTGCCAACCCTTTATGAAGGTGTTTGGTCAAGTGGACAACCACGTTGACTTTGGTAGTGGTGAGGGAGCGGGGGAACCAGGACTTGTTCCATCTTGGCATGTGAAAGCCAGGAGCAGAGAGATCAAAGAAGCAGAGATTCTTTTCTCGTTGGGAGTAATGGCCGCAGCTTGCGTGTACTTGCATCCGGGACTAACATTTTCTGATCCGGCAGTTGTACCTTTTTAACGATCTCCACCGCAGCCGTTGAGTGCTTATGGTTGTGCAGCATCCAGACCGTAGATAGGAGTTTTTTGTAGCCACCCTTGGGCATATTTTATATGAAATCCTGAAAATTTAAAACTCATTAGTTAGTGTGTTTCAGATGTTGCCAATATAAGTGCCTAATAGGCCTTTTATATTTGCTTCTCTTAATCCTCTGCCTACCAGGACTCATCAGGCCAATCAGTGCACTGTTAGGCTATACAGTGCTGTCCTCAGGTGGAGTTGAAAAGAGAAGATCCTGCTACGCTGGCACCAGTGGCGGAACAATTCCCATAGCGACCCAGACGGCCGCATTGGGGCACAGGGGGGGACCCTGCTAGGACATCCCCCTGATGCTGTGCGTGCCGCCTTGGTCGCTATGACATCTCAGGCTGGTGGCTGTCACTGGTGGCTGTGAGGAGGAACGCTGACAACCTGTTCCTCCTCACAGCCGGTGCTGAGTCAGTGACAGCCAGCAGCTGCGGAGGAGACTGGGCCCAGTGTCGGCAGCGAAGGAGGAGGCGGGGCCCGGCCATGGAGGAGGTGGGGCCCAGCAACGGAGGAGGAGGCAGAGAGCGACAGGTGGCGGAGGGCTGCCAGGTAAGAGGGTTTGACCAGCCTACCTGAGACCCTGCAGAGCCCACCATAGATGGTCTATGGTGGGCTCTGCAGGGTCACTCTCAGGTGGGCTGTGTGGGATCTCAGGTGGGCTCTGCAAGGGGTGTAACTAGAAATCACAGGGCCCCATACAAAATTTTGCTATGGGGCCCTGTGATTTCTAGTTACGCCCCTGACTGGGACCATTTCTTATGCATTATAGGCAATGCTCCTGGAGTCTGGGGCTGTTGGGGAAATAGCGGTTGTATAAAGAAATGGGGAATGCTAGCCTATAATATTTGCCATGAACCCATCCAGTGGGCCCTTAAAGGAGAACTATGAGCGGAGTGCTTTTCACCTCAATGAGACTGTCACAGGTCGGCTCAGTAGATCGGGAGGTGAGCGAACACATACCGGCGTTCGCTCACCTCTCGATCCTGTCACGGCTCTCTGCCGTGACAGGGGGAGGGGCTGGATTCCCCGCTCCGATCCGCCAGCGCTGACTGGCGGAACAGACGGGGGAGGGGGCGGGTACAGCTGGCTCTACCTCTAGATAGGCGGAGCCAGCTGTCACTCACGCAGCTGGGCGGATCCAGACAGTATTGTCGGGATCCGCTCCGGCTGCGGTGTCTCAGTATACCGCGAGCAGCAGCTCCCTATATACTGAGCCTAGGGTGACGGGAGGACGCTAGTTTGTGTCCTCCCGTTACCCTTAGGAGAACTATGGGGAAAACGCTAACCCCATAGTTCTCCTTTAAGGACTGAATTATTGTGAGCCGGGCCTTCTCTTCCAATATCAGTACCTGACCTTACAAATGGGCACAAATTCCCCAAATCTTGTGGCAGCCTTCCCAGAAAAGTGGGGAGGTGATAGCTACAAAGGAAAGGGCAACTCTGTTATAATGGCAATGATTTTGGAATGGGTCGTTCAACAAGCGTTCCCTTCAGCCTTATATCTGACCTCATTAAACCTTGCTATCCAGGGGAGGACACACCATACATAACAATTGTATACAATGTGTTGAAGTCTACAAGAGTTTCCATTGGCCGTTAAATAATACATTGTAACAAAAAAAAAGTAAATGTCATCATAAGGAGCAATAGCGGCCTCTTCCTCTGCAACGCCGGCACGGCTCCGGCACACCGCCGTGGATGAATAAATGAACTTCTAATCTGCTGTAGCCCGTTGCTGCCGTTGATGTATCATATATGACACTACGGAGTCATTACTGGGATGCTGTTCTAAGCGGCGCGCCGACCATAACCTGGAACATAACATTGTCGCCGTATTAAGTGCCATTCTGCGAGCGGACTCGGTGCAAATACATTATAGTGGAAGAGCCGGCTATCGGGTGATGGGATCTGAGATACGGCCTCCTCCAATTCACACTCATCCCGCCTTATCCCGAAACCTCCGCTCCCTCCTCCTCGCACCGCTCCGCGTTACCGTCCGCATACAAATAAAGCTTTACACTACGGAATACATTAGCGGGTGTACATGGGATTCAGAAAGGTAATTCTTCAGCGAAATCCAAGCCGTATATTTCCACACGTGTTACCGTGCTTGTCCGTTTGCAGGAATTTGTGCGTCAAAGCAAAGCTCTGCGTAGCAATTTGGAACAGTCCTGTGGGGTGGGGTGCTGTGTGGGGGATGCTGTGTGGGGGATGCTGTGTGGGGGAGATGTGTGGTGTGATGTGGGGGAAGCCGCATGGAGTTTGGAGGTCTGTAGCTATTGACTCTGCAGACAGTTGGCGACTTCTGCGCACTGTGCGCTTCAGCATGCGCTTACCACGCTCTGTCATGTGAAGTGGCCGGCCACTTCCTGGCTGAGTTGCTGTTGTTCCCAGTTGCTTCCACTTTGTTATAATACTAGTAACGTGACCGCAGAATATTTAGTAGCCAGGAGATGTCACAGAACACCTGAATCCAATGATTTGGAGGGGGAGGGGCCCAATACTTTTGTTAATATAGTGTATGTTGAATGTGTTTTATTTTCCTCTCCTCTCCATTGATGGCCATGCCGTTACTTCCTGTCTTCCAGGGTATGAGCGACGACCCGTTGTCCATGGCGGCGCACGACTCCAAGCCCCCGAAGGAGAAAGATGAGGGATCGGTGTACGGCGAGCGAGAGCTCAGTATCCGCATAGGTAGAGGCGTCTCCCACAAAGGCAAGCATCCTTTGTTGTCATATGCCACGCATGACCACCCCGATGGCTGGGCTGGGTCAGATGCCAGTCACCTGGTCCATCGCCTGTCGCTTCCAGCCGCCTTGCCCTTTAAATAATTGTTTTCTAAGTGGCTCTGGAAAGGCTGTGATGTCAGCGCCAATCTGTTCAGTGTTTGCACTTCTCGCTCAGATGAGGCTGACTCACCGAGCCGGCTGGGAGGACGGGGGACGTCCGGGGGGCTGGTGACTGATGGTGGAATAACGACAGGAATTTGTCATCGGCCATGTTGATGGGAATTAATATGAACTTTCTTTACTGCTTCGGGAATGTTTGCAGTTTCTCCACACTGTACTAGGGGTCACATTGGATCACAGCTCTTAATTTTAAAGGGGAATCCCATACAACCCCCCCCCCCCACTGTATAGACTCAAGTGTCTGTGGTGTTGGGTAGAGTAGGGAAGGTCTACCATCTGTATACCATTGGTTCCTTCACTTCCTGTTCAAATGACGCAAAATGAAGTTAGAGGAAATCTCCCAAATTGGGGGGGGGGTTTCTCCTTTTTGTTGGTTGTCATAGCACTTTGGATGTCTCATCAATGGGTGTCCTGGTGGCAGTGGTGAGCAGGACAAATAGAGCGGGTGAATGTCCTCAGTGGTGACTAAGACAGAACAAAAACCAGTCTGAGGGTCTCAGCCTTGCCCGCTCAATCCAAAACCAAAAGGTTTGGCCTTTAGATAGACTTTCATGAGGACTCCCTCAATGGCCACTGGGGTGCTTTTACTGGGAAGGCCTGCCGGTGGGTGGGCCTTGCTTAGCCTTAAATTAGATATCTGGTAGATGTGTGGTAGGCTGGTCCAAGTTCATGATATACATATCTAAAGAAATCGAGATCTCCTTTAAGGAGGCCAACCTGTAGTGAAGGCACGGTATACAGAGGCCTGGTTGTGGTCATCGGCTCCTGCCTCTCTGATCATGATGGATAATCTGGTCTTTAGAGTTTAGGGTTAGCAGATCCTAGTGATGATGGTCATCTAGCTTTGTACTTTATATCAAAGTGTTTATTGATTAAAGGAGAACTATGGGGTCAGGGCTTTTCCCCATAGTTCTCCTTTGGGTAACGGGAGGACACAAACTAGCGCCCTCCCGTCACCCTAAGCTCAGTATATAGGGAGCTACAGCTCGCGGTATACTGAGACGTCGCAGCCGGAGTGGATCCTGACATCGATGTCGAGATCGGCCCAGCTGCGTGAGTGACAGCTGGCTCTGCCTATCTAGAGGCAGAGCCAGCTGTACCCGCCCCCTCCCCCGTCCACCCCCCCCTCATAGTTCTCCTTTAACTTGCCTTTTGAATACAAAACTTTGACCGTAATTCCCCTTTAAAAGGTTCGGCTGCTGTACAGTGTGGAAATAACTCTTCTCTCCTTTTCCATTCTCTTGTTTTTCGGATCTATGTGGAAACTCTCCAATGAGCCGTGATTGGTCTGACCCTCTCCTGCGATGTGGAAACATCAATATGTACATTGTGAGCGGCTTATAAACTGAATTTCCGGTGTGTTGGATTGCACGGGGTCAGCTCAGTGTTACATAGTATTTGAGGTTGAATAAAGACATTAGTCCATCAAGTCACGCTGATGGTTTCTGCCGTGTTACCGCTGATGGTTTCTGCCGCTCTGGGCTTGTTCTCTCAAAGATCAATTCTTCTCGTGATTTATTTTCCTGAAGGCTCGGCAGCCGATCTCAACAAGATGTTTATTAACTGGGGTCCCAGGGAGATTCATCACCTAGATATAACCAATGGGGATACTAGGGAGGGCCCTGGGGGCCCCACTGGCAGATCGAGCGTCAGTAGATGGATACTAAAAGCAGGGAGGATGTGGCTTTACAGATCTATTATAAGTGACCTCCGTCCTTCCCTTCAGTCTTCTATCTGACCTCCGTCCTTCCCTTCAGTCTTATATGTGACCTCCGTCCTTCCCTTCAGTCTTCTATCTGACCTCCGTCCTTCCCTTCAGTCTTATATATGACCTCCGTCCTTCCCTTCAGTCTTATATCTGACCTCCGTCCTTCCATTCAGTCTTATATCTGACCTCCGTCCTTCCATTCAGTCTTATATGTGACCTCCGTCCTTCCATTCAGTCTTATATGTGACCTCCGTCCTCCCTTCAGTCTTATATGTGACCTCCGTCCTTCCCTTCAGTCTTCTATCTGACCTCCGTCCTTCCCTTCAGTCTTATATATGACCTCCGTCCTTCCCTCAGTCTTATATGTGACCTCCGTCCTTCCCTTCAGTCTTATATATGACCTCCGTCCTTCCCTTCAGTGTTATATGTGACCTCCGTCCTTCCCTTCAGTCTTATATATGACCTCCGTCCTTCCCTTCAGTCTTATATGTGACCTCCGTCCTTCCATTCAGTCTTCAACCTGACCTCCGTCCTTCCCTTCAGTCTTCTATCTGACCTCCGTCCTCCCCTTCAGTCTTCTATCTGACCTCCGTCCTCCCCTTCAGTCTTCTATCTGACCTCCGTCCTTCCCTTCAGTCTTGCACAGTGGTAGCGGCTCCTCTTCCTCTGATGTCACTGCACACTGGGAGCCTCTCACAATGTGCATTAGAAGCTGCAGCGAGTCAGAATCAGCCCACCTGAACTAGCTTAGTGATGACAACGTTTTATCTTTTTCCTATTTGGGTGACGTTGTCTCTTTAAAATGTCATCATTTGGAACATCTCAGTGTTATGTCCTCCCTGAGGGTGTATTGGTGGTATACAGCGAGCTGATTCGGGTTCCAGTACCTCCGAGCTACTTCCAGTACTGTGAGGGTGGGATGCCGGTGGAGCAGCTGGACCTCTTGTTTCATCCCTTGGCGACGGAACCCTGCAGCGTGCTCCAACCTCCTGTCCATGAAAGCTAATGAGGAAGTCTGAATCCATTCCAGGGATCCGCTCCTGGTTTATGGTGTTGGAGTAAGAATTATATTGAAGTCTCCCTTTTGGTGAGCCTCTTTTCTCCGCTCTCTGCCATTGTTATTTGTCGGTTATCTAACTCCATTCAGCACCCGGAGCTGATGGCAATTGCTGTTACTTGTAGGTGTGGCGGAACATGTGACGTACCCATTGTGACAATGCTGGGACAATCAATGCGGTCACACATGAAGTCCAAAGTCATAGCTTACACAAGGCGTTCTTTTCATGCCCGGCAGCTTATTGGAATGGCAGAGAAGTGTGCGGGCAAAGCTGATGTTCACAGAGTTGAATGGGAGCTTGTTTTGAATTGTTCAGAATATGTAAATAACTTAGGGCGCATAGTCTGGGCACGGGTTCACTTTAAAAGTTCATTGCTTATTTTTTTTTTATTACCGATTCATAATCTTTTTTATTTTTATTTTACAAATTAACATTCCTTCACCACTATGGTGGTATAGAGCGCAGAAAACAAAGCTTGCAGTGCAGCTCCGATTGAAATCTCAGCCATCTCGGCCACTGCTGCCATGGCTGCATGAAAGGAGAACTATGGGGTCAGTGTTTTTCCCCATAGTTCTCCTCAGGGTCACGGGAGGACATACACTAGCGTCCTCCCGTGACCCAAAGCTCAGTATACAGTCCATGTACCCATTGCACTCCTGACCGCACGTCCAACAAAGTATCCTGGGTGCTCAGTAGTCGACGGATGGCCACCGTCAAAGTAATGCAGAAAAGAAATAGACACCGACACTCCAATAGTAAATCGATTACGTCTATTTATTGACGTACATCAAAAGCAAAAAAACTAGCACTAAGTGTGTTATTTTGCTTTTGATGTACGTCAATAAATAGACGTAATCGATTTACTATTGGAGTGCCGGTGTCTATTTCTTTTCTCCAAAGCTCAGTATATCGCGAGTTACAGCTCACTATATACTGAGACCGTCACAGCAGGGACGGATCCCGACATGACTGTCGAGATCCACCCAGCTGAGTGAGTGACAGCTGGCTCTGCCTATCTAGAGGCAGAGCCAGCTGTGCCCGCCCTCCACTCAGCGCTGGCGGATCGGACAGGGAAGGGGGGGGAATTCCTTGCAGGGAGCCATGACTGACAATCACGGCTCTCTGCAGGGACAGGATCGAGAAGTAAACGAGCGACAGTATGTGTTCCCTCACTTCCCGATCTATTAAGCCGACATGTGACAGTTTCATTGTCGCACGTCGGCTCAAACTATGAGGATGCGTGAAAATCACTCACCTCATAGTTCTCCTTTAAGTTCTCCTTTAAGTAAACAGCTAAGAATGATACAATGCTTCACATGTCAATGGAGCCTAGAGCCCCACCTGCTGGCAGGATAAAAGACTGCGTCATTTGTATGCAATATCTCACAGTTACATGATAAAAGAGGAAATATATATATATTTTTAGTCCTGAACATAATAAAGAAAACTATGTACAAAAGCCTCTGAACATTACCTTTTAAGAACGGCTTTTATAAAGTAACAATAACTCAATAAATGCCACGCAGAGTCTCTCTGCTCTTTGCAGAGTCTATTCTTGCTACTGAGTCTCCTATTTGTACTGCTTTCCCCTCCATTATGGACATAGGAGAGATGTTTAATGCCCTGGCAGAAAACAAAGTAATGGCGAGAGTGGGAGGTAATCGCGCCGCTGAGTATTTTGTCAATAATATCAACTTTGGTCCATCCGACACTTCACGGGGAAGAGCTGAGTCATTGTTTGGCGCTGAGAGTCTGTCCATCGTACTGAGCACATAAAAGCCTCACTACAGAGATGAACTTTACTGGGGGGGGGGAGGTTCCTCCTTTTTGCAGCAGTAACAAGTTTTCTGCCAGAGTTCATTAAACTTTTCAGTCTCTGTGGCCAGAAGAGCTTACACTCTAAAATCCCAAGAATCGGCATACATGTAGTCACCGTTACATAGGTAGGAAGCAACCAAGATTCCAGAATGTTTTGTGGGCTGGGGGGTAGAAGGACACATACATGCATACATACTCCAT